TTCTCTTGTTCCTCACGGTTGTTCCTTCTCATTACACTCAACTAGGAGGCCAACTGCAGTTCAGCCACTACTTTGGGTATTCTGCTGGTTGTAGCTACTTCAAATGTACCTTATAATGTGGTGGGGCTTAGGAAGGACATTCCCAGGGTTGGTTGATCCAGTTTCACAAGTCAAGGTTCTGAAGATGAGATCCTTCTGAGCTTTGTGACTTCTACTGGTCGTGGTGGCGCAGTGGTTAAAATGCAGTACTGCAGGCTACTTCTGCTGACTGCCGGCTGCCAGCAGTTCAAATCTCACCGGCTCAAGGTTGACTCAGCCTTCCATCCTTCCGAGGTCAGTAAAACGAGGACCCAGATTGTTGAGGGCGATATGCTGATGCTGTAAACCGCTTAGAGAGGGTTGTAAAGCACAATGAAGCAGATATAAGTCTAAGTGCTATTGCTATTACTTGCAATGAGCGAGCAACAAAACCATGATGACTGCATCCTAAACTAAGGCAGTCCTTGGATTCCCATGGACTGCGTGCTGACGTTTAGTATGCTTAAGAGATCAGCATCTTTTATTCCAGCTTCTTGTATGTTACCACACTTGTGTTTTGCTTCATTGTAGTTGCCGCTTTTGTTCATTGACTTCATTTCTTGCATGCGTGCTTGGTTAAAGCAAGTCTCCATTTTTCATGAATCCCTTATATTTTAAAAAGATAACTGTGTGTCACTGCACTGCAGGCCTCAGTATGGTTCGTTTGCAAAGGCCGTCTGAAGACTGAGACCCTTGTTTGCATTTAATAGTATGGACGTGCTTGAAATAAAATAGGATTGTGCTTGCATTTGTGGTGCACTGGCCCAAACCTATCAGCCCTGTTCTTGGTGTCAGGAGGGAACACTCCTGACCAGTTCTGGTCACCGCGATGTAAAAAAAATGTTGAGACTCTAGAAAGAGTACAGAGAAGAGCAACAAAGATGATTAGCGGACTGGAGGCCAAAGCATATAAGGAACGGTTGCTGGAATTGGGTATGTCTAGTTTAACGAAGAGAAGGACGAGGGGGGACATGATAGCAGTGTTCCAATATCTCAGGGGCTGCCCCAAAGAAGAGGGAGTCAAGCTATTCTCCAAAGCACCTGAGGGAAGAAAAGGAAGCAACGGGTGGAAACTAATCAAGGAGAGAAGCAACCTAGAACTAAGGAGAAACTTCCTGACAGTTAGAACAATTAACCAGTGGAACAATCTGCCTCCAGAAGCGGTGAATGCTCCAACACTGGAAGTTTTTAAGAAGAGACTGGACAGCCATTTGTCCGAAATGGTATAGGGCTACCTGCCTGAGCAGGGGGTTGGACCTGATGACCTCCAAGGTCCCTTCCAACTTAACTATTATCATTATTATTATTATTATTATTATTATTATTATTATTATTATTATTATTATTATTATTATTATTATTATTATTATTATTATTATTACTGTGTCACGGGTAGAGATGACTCTGTAAACCGCTTAGAGGGCTGGAAAGCACCGTGAAACGGTATATAAATCTAAGTGCTATTGCTACTGCTACTGCTGAGAAGCTAAGGGCCTACTCTTGTTTCTGGCTGATGCAGGAGGGGCTTAGCAGCTATCTCAGCAAATGTCACCTCTGCTCTTGGATGCGAGCATCCGAGGTGTCTCCAGTATTATCCCAAAGATGTGAAAGCTGCAATTGAAGGAGCAGACGTTGTGATCGTGTGCCTTGGGACAGGTAAGAGGTGTGCCTAAAAACGCAGGTTTTCCGTCAGCCCTTCAAGAAGTGTAAGATTATCGTAACGGAATCGTGCAAGCCTGCAAGCCTTTCTGCCTTCCCTTCCCTTGACTTTCCAGAGAATTAGGGAGTGTCCCTTCTGAGATGCTTTCTCCATCCCTGTTCCTTCTGGGGGCAGAGAGATCTCTTCTCTGACTGTTTTCATTGAGGTCATGGTCATCTCTTTTGTTGTTGTTGTTAGTTGCGAAGTCGTGTCCGACCCATCGCGGCCCCAAGGACAACGTTCCTCCAGGCCTTCCTGTCCTCTACCATCTTTTGGAGTCCATTTAAGCTCATGCCTACTGCTTCAGTGACTCCATCCAGCCACCTCATTCTCTGTCGTCCTCTTCTTCTCTTGCCCTCCATCTTTCCCAGCATCAGGCTCTTCTCCAGTGAGTCCTTCCTTCTCATTAGGTGGCCAAAGTACTTGAGTTTCAACTTTAGGATCTGGCCTTCTAAAGAGCAGTCAGGGTTGATCTCTTCTAGGACTGACCAGTTGGATCGCCTTGCAGTCCAGGGGACTCGCAGGAGTCTTCTCCAGCACCAGAGTTCAAAGGCCTCCATTCTTTGGCGCTCAGCCTTTCTTGTGGTCCAACTTTCCCAGCCATACATTGCAACTGGGAAAACCATGGCCTTGACTATACACACTTTTGTTGGCAGGGTGATGTCTCTGCTTTTTAGTATGCTGTCAAATTTGCCATAGTTTTCCTCCCCAGGAGCAAGTTCAGTTGCCTTTTGGAAAAACACGTTTAGGACAACCATGGCCTGGATGATGATTGAGAATTTCCATAGACAAAATCTTCCCCCCCTCTTCCTTGAAAAAGTTCCCACCCATAGAGATTGGATAGCCCTGGAAGGTAAGAGCAGCAAAAGGATCTTTTTCACACGCTCTCTGTTCCTTCCTCTCAGGAGCTGATCTGGAATCTGAATCCAATGATCGCAACAATTTGTCTTTGCCCACACATCAGATGGACCTTCTGCAGTCTTCCGTGGCCTGGGGTGAGTTTGTTCATCTCTTTCCCCAGAGCAGGACTATAAGAAGCCTGGAGGTGACCTAGTGACATCACTAAAAGAGATGGGGCCAGCATTTTGGCTTCTTGGATCACATTTTATGGTCAGGTTGAATTATTATGGCCCAGCTGGATGGTAGCACCTAGTGGAACTTGGCTGATCTTGAAAAGCTAAGCAGGATCAGACCAGGTTAGTTCTTGGGTGGGAGACCCCAGAGAGATTCTAGGGCTGTAAGGTAGAATGTGAAGCTGAAAAATCTGAGAGTTGCTGCTATAAGGAAACTACATGGATACTGCCTCTGTAGTTAGTAGGAGTTGAACTTTATTCAACCAGTATTATAAACCAGGGGTCCCCAGCACTCGGTCTGTGGACCGGGACCGGTCCGCAGCATGCCAGCAAATGATCCACACAAACAAGCAAAGCCCCATCCATGGGATGCAGGCAGCACACAAAACTACACATCCTCTGGTCCGCGGAAAAACCTCTCTCCATGGAACTGGTCCCTGGTGTCCCAAAGGTTGGGGACCTCTGTTGTAAACTTCTTAATATTGTTAATGTTGATAAATTGTTGCTTTAGAGCAGCGGTTCTCAACCTATGGGTCGCGACCCCATTTGGGGTCGATCGACCATTTCACAGGGGTCGCCAAGCAAGGCTGTCCACCATTTTTTTTGTCCGCCATTTTTTTCCCCTTTTCCGGCGGGTGCCTTACCTCCCTTGAGCTGGGCCAGCTGGTGGTCGGCCTGCTCCGTCTCTGCCGCTTGCCAGCTACGCCTCGGCCGGCGCAGGGGGCGGAACCACGCATGCGCGGCGCTCCCGGGCAGGGAAAGTCCTCGACTTACGACCGGTTGGGTAGTCCTCGACTTATGACCGGTTTAGTCCTCGACTTACGACCGGTTTAGTCCTCGACTTACGACCGG